GGAGGAGGAGTGTGGGAGTGTGAGAGAGCGTGCTGCTGTAGCAGAGCGATGATAGCGTAGCATTGAGACGGATCAGCGATCTAGTTTAGCGATAGTATAGCAAGAGTGATGGCGAAAAAGAATAGTTATAAGCAGTGTACACTGCTTCAGAGATTGACTCGCGGATCAGTGAGTGAGGTCGAGAGCGGAGACCCCGGTGGAGGTCCGTCTCTGCAGCCCAGAGCCCGGAGCAGGGACACACCCTCCGCCTCTCGCAGCGTATCAGCTGCTGCTGTTACTGATGCCTCGGATTCGTTCAGCAAACCTGATCATGATTTATCGGACACACTCACAAACACTCACACGCACTCACTCACTCACTCACGCACACTGACATTCACACACACAGACACTCACACACACACAGACATTCACACACACAGACATTCACACACACAGACATTCACTCACACAGACACTCACTCACACAGACACTCACTCGCATACAGACACTCACTCACACAGACACTCACTCACACAGACACTCACTCACACAGACACTCACACACACAGACACTCACACACACAGACACTCACTCACACAGACACTCACACACACAGACACTCACTCACACAGACACTCACTCGCACACTGACATTCACACACACAGACACTCACTCACACAGACACTCACACACACAGACACTCACACACACAGACACTCACTCACACAGACACTCACTCGCACACTGACATTCACACACACAGACACTCACTCACACAGACACTCACTCACACAGACATTCACTCACACACTGACATTCACACACACAGACACTCACACACACAGACACTCACACACACAGACATTCACACACACAGACACTCACACACACACAGACATTCACACACACAGACACTCACACACACACTGACATTCACACACACAGACACTCACACACACAGACACTCACACACACAGACATTCACACACACAGACACTCACACACACACAGACATTCACACACACAGACACTCACACACACAGACACTCACACACACAGACACTCACTCACACACAGACACTCACACACACAGACACTCACTCACACAGACACTCACTCACACACAGACACTCACTCACACAGACACTCACACACACAGACACTCACTCACACAGACACTCACACACACAGACACTCACACACACAGACACTCACACACACAGACACTCACTCACACACTGACATTCACACACACAGACACTCACTCACACAGACACTCACACACACAGACACTCACTCACACAGACACTCACTCACACACAGACACTCACTCACACAGACACTCACTCACACAGACACTCACTCACACACAGACACTCACTCACACAGACACTCACTCACACAGACACTCACTCACACACTGACATTCACACACACAGACACTCACACACACAGACACTCACTCACACAGACACTCACTCACACAGACACTCACTCACACACAGACACTCACTCACACAGACACTCACACACACAGACACTCACTCACACAGACACTCACTCACACAGACACTCACTCACACAGACACTCACTCACACAGACACTCACACACACAGACACTCACTCACACACAGACACTCACTCACACAGACACTCACTCACACAGACACTCACTCACACAGACACTCACACACACAGACACTCACACACACAGACACTCACTCACACAGACACTCACTCACACAGACACTCACTCACACAGACACTCACTCACACAGACACTCACTCACACAGACACTCACTCACACAGACACTCACTCACACACAGACACTCACTCACACAGACACTCACTCACACAGACACTCACTCACACAGACACTCACACACACAGACACTCACGCACACAGACACTCACTCACACAGACACTCACTCACACAGACACTCACACACACAGACACTCACTCACACACAGACACTCACTCACACAGACACTCACTCACACAGACACTCACACACACAGACACTCACTCACACACACACTCACACACACAGACACTCACTCACACAGACACTCACACACACAGACACTCACTCACACAGACACTCACACACACACAGACACTCACACACACAGACACTCACTCACACAGACACTCACACACACAGACACTCACTCACACAGACACTCACTCACACAGACACTCACTCACACAGACACTCACTCACACACTGACATTCACACACACAGACACTCACACACACAGACACTCACTCACACAGACACTCACTCACACAGACACTCACACACACAGACACTCACTCACACACAGACACTCACTCACACAGACACTCACTCACACACACAGACACTCACACACACAGACACTCACTCACACAGACACTCACACACACACAGACACTCACTCACACAGACACTCACACACACAGACACTCACTCACACAGACACTCACTCACACAGACACTCACTCACACAGACACACACTCACACAGACACTCACTCACACAGACACTCACTCACACAGACACTCACACACACACTGACATTCACACACACAGACACTCACACACACAGACACTCACTCACACAGACACTCACTGCACACAGACACTCACTCACACAGACACTCACTCGCACACTGACATTCACACACACAGACACTCACTCACACAGACACTCACACACACAGACACTCACTCACACAGACACTCACACACACAGACACTCACTCACACAGACACTCACTCACACAGACACTCACTCACACACTGACATTCACACACACACAGACACTCACTCACACACAGACACTCACTCACATACAGACACTCACTCACACAGACACTCACACACACAGACACTCACTCACACAGACACTCACTCACACACACACACACTCACACAGACACTCACACACACTGACACTCACTCACACAGACACTCACACACACACAGACACTCACTCACACACAGACACTCACACACACAGACACTCACTCACACAGACACTCACTCACACACTGACATTCACTCACACACAGACACTCACTCACACAGACACTCACACACAGACACTCACTCACACAGACACTCACTCACACACAGACACTCACTCACACAGACACTCACTCACACAGACACTCACTCACACACTGACACTCACACACACACACTGACACTCACTCACACAGACACTCACACACACACAGACACTCACTCACACACAGACACTCACACACACAGACACTCACTCACACACTGACATTCACTCACACACAGACACTCACTCACACAGACACTCACACACAGACACTCACTCACACAGACACTCACTCACACACAGACACTCACTCACACAGACACTCACACACACAGACACTCACTCACACACTGACATTCACTCACACACAGACACTCACTCACACAGACACTCACACACACACAGACACTCACTCACACAGACACTCACACACACAGACACTCACTCACACACTGACATTCACTCACACACAGACACTCACTCACACAGACACTCACACACACACAGACACTCACACACACAGACACTCACTCACACACAGACACTCACTCACACACTGACACTCACTCACATACAGACACTCACACACACAGACATTCACTCACACACAGACACTCACTCACACAGACACTCACACACACAGACACTCACTCACACACTGACATTCACTCACATACAGACACTCACTCACACAGACACTCACTCACACAGACACTCACTCACACAGACACTCACTCACACAGACACTCACTCACACACAGACACTCACTCGCACACAGACACTCACTCACACACAGACACTCACTCACATACAGACACTCACACACACAGACACTCACTCACACAGACACTCACTCACACACAGACACTCACTCGCACAGACACTCACACACACAGACACTCACTCACACAGACACTCACTCACACACAGACATTCACTCGCACAGACACTCACACACACAGACACTCACTCACACAGACACTCACTCACACACAGACACTCACTCACACAGACACTCACACACACAGACACTCACTCACACAGACACTCACTCACACAGACACTCACTCACACACAGACACTCACTCACACAGACACTCACTCACACAGACACTCACTCACACACAGACACTCACTCACACAGACACTCACTCACACAGACACTCACTCACACACAGACACTCACTCACACAGACACTCACTCACACAGACACTCACACACACAGACACTCACTCACACACAGACACACTCACTCACACAGACACTCACTCACACAGACACTCACTCACACAGAGACTCACTCACACAGACACTCACACACACACAGACACTCACTCACACAGACACTCACTCACACAGACACTCAACACACAGACACTCACTCACACAGACACTCACTCACACACTGACATTCACTCACACACGACATTCACACACACAGACACTCACTCACACAGACACTCACTCACACAGCACACACACACACACAGACACTCACTCACACACAGACACTCACTCGCACACTGACATTCACACACACAGACACTCACACACACAGACACTCACTCACACACTGACATTCACACACACAGACACTCACTCACACAGACACTCACTCACACAGACACACTCACTCACACACACACAGACACTCACTCACACAGACACTCACTCACACAGACACTCACTCGCACACTGACATTCACACAGACACACACACAGACACTCACTCACACAGACACTCACTCGCACACTGACATTCACACACACAGACACTCACACACACAGACACTCACTCGCACACTGACATTCACACAGACACGCACACAGACACTCACTCACACAGACACTCACTCGCACACTGACATTCACACACACAGACACTCACACACACAGACACTCACTCGCACACTGACATTCACACACACAGACACTCACTCACACAGACACTCACTCACACAGACACTCACTCGCACACTGACATTCACACAGACACGCACACAGACACTCACACACACAGACACTCACTCACACAGACACTCACTCACACAGACACTCACACACACAGACACTCACTCACACAGACACTCACTCACACAGACACTCACTCACACAGACACTCACTCACACAGACACTCACTCGCACAGACACACACTCACACAGACACTCACTCGCACACTGACATTCACACACACACACTCAAATTCACATGCTTCATTCTATTTTATACATCTATAGTTTTATTGATCTTTGTGTTGTTGTTGTTTGACGTTTTGGTTGATGGTATAGAAGAAAGTTTAATTTTCTATCTGTGAATAAATTGCCAACAATTTGCCATCAAAAGTATTATTTCAGAGTCATGTTTTTATAATTTTTGTAATGGAACAAGTGTGAAGATGTTTTGAGTTGTCACTAAAGCAGCAAAAATGCATCTAAGTCTCTTTTCTGCTTGATATGTTCCTGTTTACATACAGCTCGTTTCCTCTGTTTTCTTGCTCAGACCAGGTGTTATGGGTGAAAGTATGCTTTGTTCTATGGCGAATAACGCAAGAACGGTAAGAGGTAGAAACAAACTGTTTTTTTCAGAGTAAAGCAGAGAGGTTAATCTTTAATTTGGTGCCCTTGGTGTTTACATCGTCTAAAAAATGAATATTCTGTGGCACTTCAAAGTTGGGTCAAATCACCTGAAATTGCTGGCAGAATGCACTTCTCAAATCTGAAAATGCCTGGCAATCAGTGAGTTAATATATTGGATTATTGCGGCTCTTCGACTGACCACAATCACCTTCTGATGGCGAGCTATTGTTCCACCTGAGCGGTAGGAACTGGAACATTTGAACCTTTCTGAGTCCCAAAAAGGAACTCTAAGGACTTTAAAAGGAACTTCAAATACAGTTATGAGCCCACCATAACTGAGTTGAACTGGACTACCAAAGGGCACTTTTTGTTTTTTTTATTTTTATTTTTGCCCTATTTATATCAATACATGTAAATAATATAATATTATTATTGCATACCTCACCTATATTTACAGAATTTGTGAATACAATCAATAGTATATACTTTTCTAAAAACGCAATTGATTTTGTTTGTGTTTTATTCACACACCCTGACTCCTTGGCCGAATCTACTTCTGGTCAAACTAATTGTTCACTCTGCTACTAGCCTAGCGTTACAATATATCCTGAGACAGATGTATATATACTGAGACACGGGTCACTCACTGCAGTGGTCAGGAGGTCTCCCTCACAGCTGAAGGCCACACAGGTCACTCTCTGACTGTGGGCCTTCAGAGCCTGTCGAAGCCGCAGCTCTGCCGCTCCCTTGTGGCTCTGTCCCAGTACTGCAGGTACTGCATGCAGCCGCTGGGGGTCATAGACATCCAGGAGACGCACCACTCCATCATCAAAGCCCACCACCAGGAGCCCTCTGCCCTGCTCCACCTACACACACAGGCACACACAGAGTAAGTAAGTAATCTTTATTTATATAGCGCCTTTCACAGAGTCACAAAGCAGTTTACAATCATGGGCAATTGTCCTCTCACTCCACACAGAGATGGGAGCGGGGCCAGTACAGGAGGCACAGACCTATTGTACATGTTTTTAGTGGTAGGGGAAACCGGAGTACCCGGAGGAAACCTACGCAGACATGGGGAGAACATGCAAACTCCACTCAGAAAGGCCCTGTTTAGACCGGGATTCAAACCCAGGACCTTCTTGCTGAGAAGAGAGAGTGCCGCCCAACAGACACACACAGATATACACACACACACACACACACACGCATACACACAGATACACACACTTACAGACACACACACACACACACACACACAGATACACACACTCACAGATACACACACTTACAGACACACACACACACACACACAGATACACACACTCACAGATACACATACATTCACACACAGAAACACATACACATATAGACACACAGATACACGTACACACACAGCACACAGCGGAAGACAGGACGGAGTACATGTGTGGTGTGTGTGTGTCTCTCTCGGTGTATGTGTCTCGCTTTGTGAGTGTGTGTGTGTTACCTGTGGGGGGGCCCAGCACAGGGTGGTCCCTCTCGTGTTAAAGTGGAAAGACGTCAGCTCCTTGTTGCTCAGAAAATCAAAGACTTTCACTGAACCTGAGGGTCACACAGAGCTCAGAGTAGATCCTTCATTCGTCCCACAGACAGGACAGTAGTAAGACACACAGGGAACACACACAATATTCAAAAGAAGTAGCTGCTATGTATCTTAGCTCTAAACGCTTCAATATTACTCTTTCAGACAAATCTATAGATATAAATCTATATACAGTACAGAGCAAAAGTGTGGACACCCTCTCTCCTTCACTGAGTTCTTTTCATGACTATTGCTGTAGACCCGCACCAGGCTGTGTAAGGGCTGTTTGACCAATAAGGAGAGAGACCAAACCCAGTCCAGATGGTTTTGGACCTGAACCCAGTCCAGATGGTTTTGGGGCTGAACCCAGTCCAGATGGTTTTGGGGCTGGACCCAGTCCAGATGGTTTTGGGGCTGGACCACAGAGTGAAGGGGCCATAAGTGCTAAGCATCATGGGAACTCCTTCCAGACTGTTGGAGACCATTTCAGGTCCTGTTGAAGCTCATCCAGAGAATGCCAAGAGTGAAGCAGCATCAGAGCAAAAGGAGCTACTTTGAAGAACCAGAATATAACACATATTTACACTTGGTTCATACGTTTTTACTACGAACATCATTCACATGAGTTCATCATAGGTTTGAGGCCCTCAGTGTCAGTCTACTATTTTAATAATCATGAAAATAAAAAACTCTTGTGTCCAAACTTTTGGTCTGTACTGTATATAGTGCAAAGCTACAAAGTAATGAGTATAAAGTGTCATTGTTCAGGGACTTTTGGAAGTTGCAGTATTGCACATTGCACATAATTTCAGTATTTACTTATTGTACAGTCTGACAGCAGCAGGAAGGAAAGACCTACGGAACCTCTCCTTCACACAGCGAGGGTGAATTAGTCTGTCACTGAAACTGCTCTCCAGAGCAGAGAGAGTGTCCTGCAGGGGGCGACAGTCATGGTCCAGCATAGATGTTAGTTTGCTCAGGACCCTCCTGTGCCCCACAGTGTCCTGCAGTGTGTGCTCCTGCTGTGTGTGCTCCTGCTGTGTGTACTCCTGCTGTGTGTGCTCCTGCTGTGTGTGCTCCTGCTGTGTGTACTCCTGCAGTGTGTGCTCCTGCTGTGTGTGCTCCTGCTGTGTGTACTCCTGCTGTGTGTGCTCCTGCTGTGTGTGCTCCTGCTGTGTGTGCTCCTGCTGTGTGTACTCCTGCTGTGTGTGCTCCTGCTGTGTGTACTCCTGCTGTGTGTGCTCCTGCTGTGTGTACTCCTGCTGTTGTGCTCCTGCTGTGTGTGCTCCTGCTGTGTGTGCTCCTGCTGTGTGTACTCCTGCTGTGTGTGCTCCTGCTGTGTGTACTCCTGCTGTTGTGCTCCTGCTGTGTGTGCTCCTGCTGTGTGTGCTCCTGCAGTGTGTGCTCCTGCTGTGTGTGCTCCTGCAGTGTGTGCTCCTGCTGTGTGTGCTCCTGCTGTGTGTGCTCCTGCTGTTGTGCTCCTGCTGTGTGTGCTCCTGCTGTGTGTACTCCTGCTGTGTGTGCTCCTGCTGTTGTGCTCCTGCTGTGTGTGCTCCTGCTGTGTGTACTCCTGCTGTGTGTACTCCTGCTGTTGTGCTCCTGCTGTGTGTGCTCCTGCTGTTGTGCTCCTGCAGTGTGTGCTCCTGCTGTTGTGCTCCTGCAGTGTGTGCTCCTGCTGTGTGTGCTCCTGCTGTGTGTACTCCTGCTGTTGTGCTCCTGCAGTGTGTGCTCCTGCTGTGTGTGCTCCTGCTGTGTGTACTCCTGCTGTGTGTACTCCTGCTGTGTGTACTCCTGCTGTTGTGCTCCTGCTGTGTGTACTCCTGCTGTGTGTGCTCCTGCAGTGTGTGCTCCTGCTGTGTGTGCTCCTGCTGTGTGTACTCCTGCTGTTGTGCTCCTGCTGTGTGTGCTCCTGCTGTGTGTACTCCTGCTGTTGTGCTCCTGCTGTGTGTGCTCCTGCTGTGTGTACTCCTGCTGTTGTGCTCCTGCAGTGTGTGCTCCTGCTGTGTGTGCTCCTGCTGTGTGTACTCCTGCTGTTGTGCTCCTGCTGTGTGTGCTCCTGCTGTGTGTACTCCTGCAGTGTGTGCTCCTGCTGTGTGTGCTCCTGCTGTTGTGCTCCTGCTGTGTGTACTCCTGCTGTTGTGCTCCTGCAGTGTGTGCTCCTGCTGTGTGTGCTCCTGCTGTGTGTACTCCTGCTGTTGTGCTCCTGCTGTGTGTGCTCCTGCTGTGTGTACTCCTGCAGTGTGTGCTCCTGCTGTGTGTGCTCCTGCTGTGTGTACTCCTGCTGTTGTGCTCCTGCTGTGTGTGCTCCTGCTGTGTGTACTCCTGCTGTTGTGCTCCTGCTGTGTGTGCTCCTGCTGTGTGTACTCCTGCTGTGTGTGCTCCTGCTGTGTGTGCTCCTGCTGTGTGTACTCCTGCTGTGTGTGCTCCTGCTGTGTGTGCTCCTGCTGTGTGTACTCCTGCTGTGTGTGCTCCTGCTGTGTGTACTCCTGCTGTTGTGCTCCTGCTGTGTGTGCTCCTGCTGTGTGTGCTCCTGCTGTGTGTACTCCTGCAGTGTGTACTCCTGCTGTTGTGCTCCTGCTGTGTGTGCTCCTGCTGTGTGTGCTCCTGCTGTGTGTACTCCTGCAGTGTGTGCTCCTGCTGTGTGTGCTCCTGCTGTGTGTACTCCTGCTGTTGTGCTCCTGCTGTGTGTGCTCCTGCTGTGTGTACTCCTGCTGTTGTGCTCCTGCTGTGTGTGCTCCTGCTGTGTGTACTCCTGCTGTTGTGCTCCTGCTGTGTGTGCTCCTGCTGTGTGTACTCCTGCTGTTGTGCTCCTGCAGTGTGTGCTCCTGCTGTGTGTACTCCTGCTGTGTGTGCTCCTGCTGTGTGTACTCCTGCTGTTGTGCTCCTGCTGTGTGTGCTCCTGCTGTGTGTGCTCCTGCTGTGTGTGCTCCTGCTGTGTGTGCTCCTGCTGTGTGTGCTCCTGCTGTGTGTACTCCTGCTGTTGTGCTCCTGCTGTGTGTGCTCCTGCTGTGTGTGCTCCTGCTGTGTGTGCTCCTGCTGTGTGTGCTCCTGCTGTGTGTGCTCCTGCTGTGTGTGCTCCTGCTGTGTGTGCTCCTGCTGTGTGTGCTCCTGCTGTGTGTGCTCCTGCTGTGTGTGCTCCTGCTGTGTGTGCTCCTGCTGTTGTGCTCCTGCTGTGTGTGTGCTCCTGCTGTGAGTGACAGAAACATATGTTATGGACACAAGAACATGTGACATTGGTTGAATGTGGTTTGAAAGTTAGGTACCCGAGCTTTAAGTGAGTTTGTAGATTTTGTTTAGTTCAGATCTGAGAACTCACGGTCCAGAGCAGTGGAGGCCATCAGGCTGTAGCAGGACACGTCCAGGCCTTGGATCGCTCCACAGTGAAACTGCAGCACACACTCTGGGTCTGGGGTCTACACACACACACACACACACACACACACAAACACACATACACACACACACACACACACTAAGCAAGTAATAGTACAAACATATTATAAAGGCAGCCCTATACTCACTGTGTGTGTGAAAGACAGATCCAGTTTCCAAATGGCTCCCATTGCATCCTGTGAACATCATTATCTTTAGCAACAAAACCTCATCTGGATTAAAACATTTTAAATCATTTATTGACTCTTCGTGGGTTAGGGCTAGAACACACAACCCTGAACACATGGTGTGAGCGGAACACACAACCCTGAACACATGGTGTGAGCGGAACACACAACCCTGAACACATGGTGTGAGCGGAACACACAGACCTGAACACATGGTGTGAGCGGAACACACAGACCTGAACACATGGTGTGAGCGGAGCATACAGACCTGAACACATGGTGTGAGCGGAACACACAGACCTGAACACATGGTGTGAGCGGAACACACAACCCTGAACACATGGTGTGAGCGGAACACACAGACCTGAACACATGGTGTGAGCGGAACACACAGACCTGAACACATGGTGTGAGCGGAACACACAGACCTGAACACATGGTGTGAGCGGAGCATACAACCCTGAACACATGGTGTGAGCGGAACACACAGACCTGAACACATGGTGTGAGCGGAGCATACAGACCTGAACACATGGTGTGAGAGGAACACACAGACCTGAACACATGGTGTGAGCGGAACACACAGACCTGAACACATGGTGTGAGCGGAACACACAACCCTGAACACATGGTGTGAGCGGAACACACAGACCTGAACACATGGTGTGAGCGGAACACACAGACCTGAACACATGGTGTGAGCGGAACACACAGACCTGAACACATGGTGTGAGAGGAGCATACAACCCTGAACACATGGTGTGAGCGGAACACACAGACCTGAACACATGGTGTGAGAGGAACACACAACCCTGAACACATGGTGTGAGCGGAACACACAGACCTGAACACATGGTGTGAGCGGAACACACAGACCTGAACACATGGTGTGAGAGGAGCATACAGACCTGAACACATGGTGTGAGAGGAACACACAGACCTGAACACATGGTGTGAGCGGAACACACAGACCTGAACACATGGTGTGAGAGGAGCATACAGACCTGAACACATGGTGTGAGAGGAGCATACAGACCTGAACACATGGTGTGAGAGGAGCATACAGACCTGAACACATGGTGTGAGCGGAACACACAGACCTGAACACATGGTGTGAGAGGAACACACAGACCTGAACACATGGTGTGAGAGGAGCATACAGACCTGAACACATGGTGTGAGAGGAGCATACAGACCTGAACACATGGTGTGAGAGGAACACACAGACCTGAACACATGGTGTGAGAGGAGCATACAGACCTGAACACATGGTGTGAGAGGAGCATACAGACCTGAACACATGGTGTGAGAGGAGCATACAGACCTGAACACATGGTGTGAGAGGAGCATACAGACCTGAACACATGGTGTGTGAGAGGAGCATACAGACCTGAACACATGGTGTGAGAGGAGCATACAGACCTGAACACATGGTGTGAGAGGAGCATACAGACCTGAACACATGGTGTGAGAGGAGCATACAGACCTGAGCGTACCAGATGCTAGCGTCCTTCTCTGCACTCCGCACCACAGAGCTCAGACTGACGTTGTGGCCGATCAGAAGCTCGTTCATGGGCTCCAGCTCGAAGCGGCAGCCCTCCCCCTGGGTTTTTGCTCCGGTGATGCAGTCCAGGTCCCAGCCCTATGAGCGCAGCAGAATCATACACTGAAAAGTAAGGTCCCCTGCACTGGTCTCTCTTTGGTCTCTCTCTCTTGTCTCTCTCTGGTCTCTCTCTTTGGTCTCTCTCTCATGTCTCTCTCTGGTCTCTCTCTTTGGTCTCTCTCTGGTCTCTCTCTCATGTCTCTCTCTGGTCTCTCTCTCTTGTCTCTCTCTGGTCTCTCTCTCTGGTCTCTCTCTGGTCTCTCTCTTTGGTCTCTCTCTCTGGTCTCTCTCTTTGGTCTCTCTCTCATGTCTCTCTCTGGTCTCTCTCTCTTGTCTCTCTCTGGTCTCTCTCTCTTGTCTCTCTCTGGTCTCTCTCTCTGGTCTCTCTCTGGTCTCTCTCTTTGGTCTCTCTCTGGTCTCTCTCTCTTGTCTCTCTCTGGTCTCTCTCTCTGGTCTCTCTCTGGTCTCTCTCTTTGGTCTCTCTCTGGTCTCTCTCTTTGGTCTCTCTCTGGTCTCTCTCTTGGTCTCTCTCTCTGGTCTCTCTCTGGTCTCTCTCTCATGTCTCTCTCTGGTCTCTCTCTCTTGTCTCTCTCTGGTCTCTCTCTCTGGTCTCTCTCTGGTCTCTCTCTCTGGTCTCTCTCTGGTCTCTCTCTCTTGTCTCTCTCTGGTCTCTCTCTCTGGTCTCTCTCTGGTCTCTCTCTTTGGTCTCTCTCTGGTCTCTCTCTTTGGTCTCTCTCTCATGTCTCTCTCTTTAGTCTCTCTTTCTCATCTCTTGATGGTCTCTCTGCAAATAATACGTTTCTGAAACTACACACTGCAGTCATATGTGGAGCAATAAACACATTTTCATTTGCTAAAGGAAAGAGCCCAAACTCTGATGGTCAGAGCTTCACTCACCCAAACACGGCTCCACGGCTTGTTACGCTGTCATTATGAGTATTGTCAGGGTATGATTTGTGTGTAGTTAAAGAGCCTTCAGTCCAAGTAATACTGTATTTGTGTGAGTCTCCCTGGGGTCAAGATATAATATAATCTTATAATATTCTTTATTTGTCCCACAGTGCGGACATTTCAATGTATTTCATTGCACATTAGAGCAGAATAAAAGGACATTCGACTCAGATTGCACACATCAAACAGGATCTATTATTTAAGATTCTGGAGAATAAAAAATAAATAAGTTAATAGTATAAGGTAAAATAAATCTCTCGGTTTGCACCGCCTTCTTATGCGTGTATCATGGCAGCCGAAGCAAACCAAAATAGCGGACATTAAATACGAACATATTAAGACACGGATGTCACTTTTAATGCAATATGAGGCGAGATGTTGATGGTTCCATTAAGATTAAGAGGTTCTTTATTCGTCCCACAGTGGAGAATTTTCAGTGTTGCATCGCAAGGACAAGTATAAAATCTCTATCTTGAACATAATAATAAAGAGTATTAATTGTTACATTTGGCCAAATAAGAAGAAGTATAAAGTGCTGTATTCTAGTGCAAGCAATGTGTAGCTATATGTTAGTATCTGTATGAGCAGCAGTTTGATTACATCTGCACATTAGCAGCATGAGTTTGTGTAAGCCCTCAGTCGTGAAACAAAAACCTTCTCTTAACAGAGGAGGAGGGTTAAGATTTGTTTTGCCTCGCATCTATGACGACATCCTAAAAACAACGCCCTAACTTGGGACAAGGTCAGTGACATGCTAATGAGTTAGGAGGGGTGAGACCTGCACTCCACTTGAGCATCCCAGCAGACAATAGGTCAGTGACATGCTAATGAGTTAGGAGGGGTGAGACCTGCACTCCACTTGAGCATCCCAGCAGACAATAGGTCAGTGACATGCTAATGAGTTAGGAGGGGTGAGACCTGCACTCCACTTGAGCATCCCAGCAGACAATAGGTCAGTGACATGCTAATGAGTTAGGAGGGGTGAGACCTGCACTCCACTTGAGCATCCCAGCAGACAATAGGTCTGTGACATGCTAATGAGTTAGGAGGGGTGAGACCTGCACTCCACTGGAGCATCCCAGCAGACAATAGGTCAGTGACATGCTAATGAGTTAGGAGGGGTGAGACCTGCACTCCACTTGAGCATCCCAGCAGACAATAGGTCAGTGACATGCTAATGAGTTAGGAGGGGTGAGACCTGCACTCCACTTGAGCATCCCAGCAGACAATAGGTCAGTGACATGCTAATGAGTTAGGAGGGGTGAGACCTGCACTCCACTTGAGCATCCCAGCAGACAATAGGTCAGTGACATGCTAATGAGTTAGGAGGGGTGAGACCTGCACTCCACTGGAGCATCCCAGCAGACAATAGGTCAGTGACATGCTAATGAGTTAGGAGGGGTGAGACCTGCACTCCACTTGAGCATCCCAGCAGACAATAGGTCTGTGACATGCTAAGGAGTTAGGAGGGGTGAGACCTGCACTCCACTTGAGCATCCCAGCAGACAATAGGTCTGTGACATGCTAATGAGTTAGGAGGGGTGAGACCTGCACTCCACTTGAGCATCCCAGCAGACAATAGGTCTGTGACATGCTAAGGAGTTAGGGTCGTTAGCCTCAGCAGGGTCGTTAGACCTGCTCCCTTCTACATCAAACAGACCTGAGATTGTTTATGAGTTAGTATCAGGATTAGGCTGTGGCTAACCACACCCTTAGGTTATAAATCTCCAACGCGCGGTCCGAGAATTCATTCCCTGAAGAAGTCCGCTAGTTTGAGGACAAAACGTCGGGAAAACTTGCTAAGAAGTACAGATGATGGGTGAGAAACCTTCCTTTGCTTTAGCAGCATGAGGCTCTGGGACACAGTGACTCAGTAAAGTGACAGTGACATGTGGTTATTGCACATTTTGATATTACTGAAGGATATTGCACTGACGCATGAGACGTGAGATAAGATAAGAATTCCTTTATTTGTCCCACAGTGGGTAAATTTAGATGTTGCATCGCACAGACAGGACAGTAGTAAGAGCACACAGGGATCACACACAATATATACACTATTTACAAATAAGTAGTAGCTATGTTTCTTAGCTAACATAACTAGCTGTAGATGCTGAAAATGCTTCAATACCAGTCAAAATATATATGTACTGTAGTAGTGCAGTTATATACTGTACAGTTAAATAGTCCATCCATCCATCCATTTTCTACCCTTTAATCCATTTCTGGGTCAGGGGGGTGGCAGTCAGAGATGCCACCCAAGTCTCATAGCACCAGCCCCTCACTGACCCTCTGCAGGTGGTGAGTCCACAGGAGGACGGCTGCTCTCTGACTGTGAGCATAGCCTTGATCTTTCAGTGGGGGCTTTGGGCAAAGTGGGGTTAAGTGTCTTGCCCAAGGACACAACGACAGCAGTCATCAGTGGGAGTCTGTGGAGAAGGTGCAGAGGTGGGAATTGAACCCACGACCTTCTGGCCTGAAGGCCAACGCTCTACCAACTGAGCTACTGTCGCCCCTCCAGTGCGACAGTGCAGGATAAAAAGTATATAAGTAAAGTGACATGAGGTAAAGTGACATTGTTCTGTGACATTCTGAAGTTGCAGTATTGCACATTGCACATGATTTTAAGAATCGACTTAATTACAGATGAATGAAATTTACAGGCTCAGCAGTTCTTATTGTACAGTCTGACAGCAGCAGGAAGGAAAGACCTACGGAACCTCTCCTTCACACAGCGAGGGTGAATTAGTCTGTCACTGAAGCTGCTCTCCAGAGCAGAGAGAGTGTCCTGCAGGGGGCGACAGTCATGGTCCAGCATAGATGTTAGTTTGCTCAGGACCCTCCTGTCCCCCACCTGCTGCACTGTGTCCAAGGAACAGCCCAGGACTGAGCTGGACTTCCTGATGTTCCAGCTTCTTCCCTCTCTGTGATGCTGCTGTTCCAGCAGACCACACCGTACAAGAGGCTGATGCCACCACAGAGTCATAGAAGGTCCTTCAGGAGTGGCCCCTGCACTCCAAAAGACCTAAGCCTCCTCAGTAGGTAGAGGCGACTCTGGCCCTTCTTGAAGAGGGCGTCTGTGTTATGAGTCCAGTTCAGTTTGTGGTTCAGATGAACACCCAGGTACTTGTAAGAGTCCACTCTCTCGATGTCCTTTCCCTGGATGTTCACTGGAGCTGGAGCAGCAGAGTGACGTCTGCGGAAATCCACCACCATCTCCTTGGTCTTCCTCACGTTGATGAGGAGGTGGTTCATCTCCTTGGTCTTCCCCGCGTTGATGAGGAGGTGGTTCATCTCCTTGGTCCTTCCCACGTTGATGAGGAGGTGGTTCATCTCCTTGGTCTTCCCCGCGTTGATGAGGAGGTGGTTCATCTCCTTGGTCTTCCTCACGTTGATGAGGAGGTGGTTCATCTCCTTGGTCTTCCCCGCGTTGATGAGGAGGTGGTTCATCTCCTTGGTCTTCCTCACGTTGATGAGGAGGTGGTTCATCTCCTTGGTCTTCCTCACGTTGATGAGGAGGTGGTTCATCTCCTTGGTCTTCCTCACGTTGATGAGGAGGTGGTTCATCTCCTTGGTCTTCCTCACGTTGATGAGGAGGTGGTTCTTCTCCTTGGTCTTCCTCACGTTGATGAGGAGGTGGTTCTTCTCCTTGGTCTCCTGTGGATGAGGAGGTGGTTCATCTTGTAACGCCCTTACCTTAGTGTTCACTCAGGAGGGGTGACATTCTGTATTTTGCAACCAATTTTGTGTACCAGGTCTATTTTGTGTTTTGTTTCATAAGTCTCCAGGTACTGGTGCTATTATTGTTTTTGCCATTGATGGCATGCTTAGAGACTCTATTTAGGAGTGACGGGCACGGGCGCGGGGGCGCGCGTGTTCTGACGTCAGACGCCGACTTGGAGTCAGGCCAGCACCTTTACCTGGAGTTTCTGCGGATTATAATCTCTGTTGGAGTATCATTCTTTTGGATTACCGGGATTTTTTGGATTACCGTGTGCAGGGGGATCTAACGAGACTCTGTGGATTATCTCTCCATGGTCGCTGCTGGGCTCCAGGACCTGTTTTGGTGAACCGTGGTGCATGCGCGGGGCCGTGAGTACACCGTGGCTTCACCACTGACACTAAATCTTTCTTTTTTTGTTTCCACATATTGAGACCGCCACAGTTGGCTGTTTGTGATCATATTATGTTTTATTGTGTGGGGTCGCGCTCGAGTGTGGGGGTGTTGGCTTATTAGTGATCAATCAAAGTTTATTTTGTATAGCACTTTACAACAACACCAGGAGGACCAAAGTGCTTCACAGACAGATTAAAACAATTTAAAACACAAAATGAAAACAACCAAGACACAATTCAGTGTGCCCTAAGTATTAAAAGCTAGTTTAAAAAGATGAGTCTTTAATCTGGACTTAAAAAGGGACAGGTCCGTGAGAACACGCAGACTGAGTGGCAAGCTGTTCCACAGTTTAGGCGCTGCAACCCTGAAGGAACGTTCGCCCCACTGTTTGTAGTGGGACCTGGGCACATCCAGAACCATTTGATTGGCAGACCGGAGAGCTCTGCTGGGGCGATGTACGGTCAACAACTCAGTTAAATATAACGGAGCGAGACCATGAAGAGCTTTAAAAACAAGCATTAACATTTTAAAATCAATCCGAAAACGGACCGGGAGCCAGTGCAGGGAGGAGAGGACAGGAGTGATGTGGCTGTATCTAGATGAACCGGTGAGAAGACGGGCTGCTGCATTCTGCACCAACTGTAACCGGTTGAGTGACGACTGTGGGAGGCCAGAGTAGAGAGCGTTGCAATAGTCCAACCGAGAGCTGATAAATGCGTGCGTTGCCTTCTCGAGGTCTTGGCGTGAGAGAAAGGGCTTCACCTTGGTCAAAAGGCGCAGCTGGAAAAAGCTGGCTTTGACAACAGCATGTATTTGTTGTTTAAAGTTCAGTTCCCGGTCAGTGATAGTGATAGACTGGGATCAGTAATAAATAGCCAGTCTTGTGCCAAATGCATGTTCTGTATCTGTGCTTATTTCACCCCGCTGATGTGACATCTCCTCTCGCGACCCTTTTAAAGCGTTGTAGCTCTGGTGTCTTGAAAAGGTAGGCAATTTGTTACAGACTGGTGGCCCGTACGAGGACCGCGGAGTTTCTGTACATCAGCGGCGTTGGTGTCAAACTTTTACGCACGGGTTACGCGCACTACCTTCCGCGCGCACACACATATGCTTCATTCATAAAACACTCCCCTGGCTCCCCTATATCCCTCACGCATTAAGCCACATTCACACCAACAAAGTATGGCAGACCCAGTCCAAAATATACTGGATGAGGACAGAGGAGAGGAGAATGCAGTAGATGACACACCAGTACTGCATCCTTCTTATCATGTCACTCTTAGACAAAATCAAAGTGGAATGTCTGAGCTCACGAGCCGGTTAGAATCCATGTATTTAAACGATGCAGAGCCAGAAGACGAGAATGACGAGGCGGGAAATGACATGGGCATGGAGAGAGTGTTTGAGGAGCTCAATACATTAAAGGGGACCGTAGACGGCCTGGAGACTCGTCTTAAAGAAACAGTGGACAGTGCTCTGAGCAGAGAGGAGGGGCTAAGAGCGGCAATCGATGTGATGGCAGGAGAATTCAAAAAGTATGTGGATGGAAAGCTACAGCGTTTGAAGTTGTCACAGACTGTCTATTACGCAGGGACCAGAGATGGACAGAGGAATTAAAAAGGATCCAATCAAAGTCCCGGATGTCCTGGGGACCCGTTAGTTATTCTACGCCTTCCATCCCTGCACATTCTTCACACCGGCGACTAAGCGCAGATGAGACCTGTCCCCCAGTACCAGCAGCCGCAGCCAGACCCCCCATTAGAATGGAGTTTCCTCAGTTCGGAGAGTCGCGGAATTCCTCTGACGTCACGGACTTTGTTGAGCAGTGTGAGAACTTTTTAACCCTCAGACCACTGAGTGACATAGAGCTGATAGGAACGCTCAACACAGTTTTAAAGGGCCCTGCACGCAGTTGGTGGTTGGCCGCCCGCAGTAAAATCTGCAACTGGACGGACTTTAGGAAGTCCTTCCTAGAGGCGTTCTTACCCATGGACTATCAGGCTAAGATTGAAGATCAGCTCAGGACCAATGTGCAGGCCCCAGGCCAATGCCTGAGAGATTTTGCATACGACAATCGAGCTCTCTGTCTAAAGTGGAGACCAGATATGACGGAGGCAGACATGGTGCGTCGCATCCTCAATGCTTGTAACCCTAGGCTGGCTAGCAGGCTGCTAGGCACAGTTACCACCGTTGAACAGCTGGTGAAGGTGGGCTCTCTTATTGAGAAAGACTGGAGCAACACAAAGGACTATTGGAGCAGAGTTCAGCAGTCACACGGTCCAAACCGGAGCTCCGGTGGCGACGCCACTACAGCTTTGGGCGAGCCGTCTCTCCTTGTCGTGCCGGTCTACCTTCGCGGGTCCAAAGGTGATGCGGTACTTGATTCGGGATGCACCTACTCCCTCATGAGCCACTCACTATGGAAGGCCATCCAGTAGGACGGAGATATTCTAGCGTCGAGTGAAATCCCAAAGTTCGTAATGGCCAACGGTCAAGAGAACAAGGCTCTTGGGAAAGCCACCTTGCTCTTTCGTCTCCACGATTTCCATGGCATGCTCGGAGTCCACGTTCTTGCTGACGACAACCTCTGCATGCCACTTCTCTTGGAACTCGACTTTATGTCCATGTGCAAAATAACTCTGAAGCCACATTGTAGACGTTACATAATGCCGGGTGGCAAAGAGTACTCGTTTCTCCCCAAAGTAAGAGCAACGCTGCACTGGAGTCACAAGCCACCTTCAGTAAACTTTTACGTTGCCGAACAAACCCACACTGTCATTCCCCTCCTGGAGGCTCAGCCAGAGGTGGTGCGGCCACTGCTGCAGAAGTAGTCCAATGTCTGGACTGAGGCTACTGGAGCCACACAAGTTATAAAGCACAAGATAATAACCACCGATGAAGTACCAGTGCGGAAAAGAGCCTACAGGGTATCAGATTCAGATTCATTTATTTGCCATTTGCAGTGAAACCACATAGGAAAAACTGTGCAAGACTACCCCAGTGTGCACCAGACGACACACACCAGAGCTCTTGCCACGGCGCCATCTTTACGGCGCCATGCGACAAACAGTAGAATAAACAGCAGAGAGCAATAACATACAGTTTCACAGACAGTTGGATAGACACATTGTGCTTTGTATAAACCACGGATTTTTTTTCTCGGGATGAGCACCTCCGACTGCCGGCCCAATGTGGCTGTCAGAGTGGGGCGGGGTCAGGGAGGGGGTGAGCCGGAAAGACATTGAGGAGTGGAGGGGAGGGAGGGAGCAAGATGGATAGGTAGAGGGAGGCGGGGGGAGCGGGATCCGTGCTGGACTGAATAGTGTGAGTTGTTGTAGATTGGGACCTTGTTTTATGGCCTTGGCAGAGGAATGTGAGATAAGAGTGGAGAGAAGACACAGCAGGAGAAAAACACATCGCCTGTGAAGAGGGACAATATTATATGCAATGTAGCAGTCAAAAGCAGGTAGATATTCTATTGAATCCAATTAAACCGAATTGCGGCGCCCTCAGACCTCCGTACACAGGGCCAAATCCAAGCCGGGTCAGAGAGTTCAAGCCTGACACACGATGTCATTCAATCTCATCTCCAATGTTTTATGCCCTTCGAGTGAACGAGCTGCGAGGTCTTTTATCAACTGTTCCACCAAAACCACTCTCCTTTGTCCAGATACGGCGCTCTCAACCACGATGCGGCTTAGGGTATCGGCCCATAAGCAAGCTGTTATCGAAGAACAAGTCCAAAGAATGCTTGAAAATGGTGTCATCGTGCCATCCGCATCCCCATGGTCCTCTCCAGTGGTCCTCACTCCGAGAAAGGATGGAACTCCACGATTCTGTGTGGACTACAGGGGCTTAAATGAAAAGACGAGGCATGATGAATATCCCATGCCCCTGATTCATGAGATTCTAGAGTCCCTAGAAGGCGCTCAGTACTTTAGTTCCCTTGATTTAAAGAGTGGGTACTGGCAGGTTGCTATGGACGATGAGAGCAAGCTCAAAACAGCCATGACCACCCATCTGGGCTTGTTTCAGTTTAAGGTCATGCCTTTCGGTCTGCGCAATGCTGGGGCTACGTTCCAGCGACTGATGGAGATCGTCCTAGGTGAGTTGAGGGGAAAAGTCTGTTTCGTATACATTGACGACATTATAGTCTTTTCCAAAGCTGAAGAACAGCACCTCCATGACCTTGATGCAGTGTTTGTCAAGCTCCACCATGCAAACCTGACGCTCAACGTAAAAAAAATCTGTTTGTTTCAGCGCCAGCTCACCTTTCTCGGCCACCTTGTCTCAGAAAAGGGAGTAGAGGTGGATCCCACCAAGGTGTCGGCTATCATGGAGTTCCCTCCACCGACAGAGATAAAAGGTCTCCAATGATTCCTGGATATGGTCGGATGGTACCACAAGTTCATTTCGCAATTCGCTGACATTGCTGCACCCCTGAACCATCTAAAAAAGAAAGATGTGCAATGGGAGTGGTCTGCGGAGTGTCAGGCTGCCTTCGACCGACTCAAGGTCCTGGTTCAATCACCACCAGTCCTGGCCCAGCCACAACCTCAGCTCGGTTTCCAAGTCCACTGTGATGCCAGTGATGTGGGATTGGGAGCCATTCTCACACAAGAAATTGACGGTGAGGAGCGTCCTGTGGCGTTTGCATCCCGAGCTCCCCAGGGCGCCGAGGTCCGATATTCCACCGCTGAGAAAGAATGCTTGGCAGTCGTGTGGGCAATAGAAAAGTGGAAGCACTTCCTTGAGGGCACCACATTTGACGTGTACACTGACCACAGTGCCCTGGCCTGGGCGTTCAACTGCCCCAAGACATCCTCACACCTCACCCGCTGGACATTACGTCTTCAAGCGTTTACCTTCAGAGTCCACTACAAAAAAGGATGCTGTAACGTGGTCTCTGATGCCCTCTCACGTGCCCCCATTCCCCAAGCTGGACAGGTTTGCCTGACTGTGCCAAAAACATATTGGTCAGACATCCCTTGTTCCCTGCAGGAGATTGCTAAGGCCCAAGAGGCGGACCCTTCCTGTCAAGAGCTCGGGCCTGCTGACCGCCAAGCCAGGGTCGCATCGATTACCAACTCCAACTGGACGTGTGGTACAGAGGCGTACCTTCCAAGTACGGAAGTTTTAATTACCAAGTGGTGGTTCCGGCTGCGTTGGTGCCCCAGTTCCTGCTCTACTATCACCACAGTCCATTTGGTGGACATCTGGGCAGGATGAAAATCCTTTTGAAGATCCTCCAGGTGGCCTGGTGGCCATCTGTCCGCAAAGACGTCTGGCAACACGTCCGTACGTGCACAATCTGCCAGCAGTACAAATGTTCCCTTGGAAGGCCGGCCGGGCTCCTGCAGTCTACTGAGGTCAAAGTTCCGGGGGAGATGATCGGTGTGGACTTCATGGGACCATTCCCGCTCAGTAAAGACCGCAACTCTGTGCTAATGGTAGTTGTGGACTACTACAGCAGATGGGTCGAGTTGTTTGCTTTGAAGGATGCCAAAACCCCCAAAGTTTGCAAGGTCCTGAAAAATGAGATTTTTACCCGCTGGGGCGTTCCGAAGTTCATGTCTGACCGAGGCCCTCAGTTCACAAGCCATCTGTTGGCCCAACTGTGTGAAACCTGGGGCGTCACCCAAAAACTCACCACAGCCTATCACCCCCAAACCAACATGATAGAGAGAGTTAACGCACCCTCAAGACCATGATTGCCTCTTATGTTGGGAACCAGCACCAAGACTGGGACAGGTGGCTGCCTGAGTTTCGGTTGGCTCTTAACACTGCGGTACATGAGACCACAGGCGTGACACCTGCCATGCTGACTCTGGGTTGAGAGCTTCTGGGGCCGCTTCTGGGACTTGTTCACAGAGCTCCTGCTCCACATACACCCGCATACCAGACTCTTCAGACACACACTCAGTTAAGGGAGGAGGTTGCGAGACACGTTGGCGCGTCCAAAGCCAGACAAGCCAGATACTATAATGCACGACGCAGGGATGTACACTTTGCTGTCGGTAGTCTGGTCTGGGTTAGGTCGCATCCATTGTCCAAAGCTTCTGCGAGATTCTCTGCCAAACTTGCACCCAAGTGGTTAGGGCCGGCTAGGGTAGAGAAAAGCTTGGGACCTATAAATTACCAAATCCGTTGGTTGTCCAGTGTTCACTCAGGAGGGGTGACATTCTGTATTTTGCAACCAATTTTGTGTACCAGGTCTGTTTTGTGTTTTGTTTCATAAGTCTCCAGGTACTGGTGCTATTATTGTTTTTGCCATTGATGGCGTGCTTAGAGACTCTATTTAGGAGTGACGGGCACGGGCGCGGGGGCGCGCGTGTTCTGACGTCAGACGCCGACTTGGAGCTGGGCCAGCACCTTTACCTGGAGTTTCTGCGGATTATAATCTCTGTTGGAGTATCGTTCAGTGGTGATGATCGTTCAGTGGTAATGATCCAGGACACTCAACATTAAACAACATTTATGGACATTTATGGACACTCTATGTGTTTTTATTGTTGCATATCTTGTTTTTGAACTGTTTGATTATATGATTTCTGTTGGAGAATAGACAGCTTCGAGATCCGACTACTGCTGTAGTGATTAAGGGCGATACAAGAATACATTGAATTGAATTTAGTTATACTGTAGTAATGCTGTAGTACTAACCCGCACTGCTCCGTCGGCCCCCATGGTCAGCAGAGTCCCCTCATCCAGAGCAAAGGGCAGAGCAGTCCCTGTGTGGCAGCTCCGTCCTTCTTTACGACAGATCTCAAACATGATCAGGTTCCCGTCCCAGAGCAGCAGGTTCCCCCACTCTGTACCACTCACCACCTGCAGAGGGCGCCGACAGACAACATATAGATAAAAGGAGTAATGAGAGTGTCTGTACCACTCACCACCTGCAGGGGGCGCCGACAGACAACATGTAGTTACAGGAGTAATGAGAGTGTCTGTACCACTCACCACCTGCAGGGGGCGTGGAGACAAAACATACAGTTACAGGAGATATGAGAGTGTCTGTCCTCAAATCCACATGGGCTAAAGGCCACCCACGGTACTCTGGTCTCTCTCTGGTCTCTTTCTGGTCTCTTTCTGGTCCCTCTCTGGTCTCTCTCTGGTCTCTCTCTGGTCTCCCTCTGTGGTCTCTCTCTCTGGTCTCTCTCTCTGGTCTCTCTCTCTGGTCTCTCTCTCTGGTCTCTCTCTCTGGTCTCTCTCTCTGGTCTCTCTCTCTGGTCTCGCTCTGGTCTCCCTCTCTGGTCTCTCTCTCTGGTCTCTCTCTGGTCTCTCTCTGGTCTCCCTCTCTGGTCTCTCTCTGGTCTCTCTCTGGTCTCTCTCTGGTCTCTCTCTAGTCTCTCTCTCTAGTCTCTCTCTCTAGTCTCTCTCTGGTCTCTCTTTCTCTGGTCTCTCTCTGATCTCTCTCTGGTCTCTCTTTCTCTGGTCTCTCTCTCTCTCTCTGTTCTCTCTCTCTTTGGTCTCTCTCTCTGGTCTCTCTCTCTCTGGTCTTTCTCTCTGGTCTCTCTCTGGTCTCTCTCTGGTCTCTCTCTGGTCTCTCGCTGGTCTCTCTCTGGTCTCTCTCTGGTCTCCCTCTGGTCTCTCTCTCTGGTCTCTCTCTGGTCTCTCTCTGGTCTCCCTCTGGTCTCTCTCTCTGGTCTCTCTCTGGTCTCTCTCTCTGGTCTTTCTCTCTGGTCTCTCTCTGGTCTCTCTCTGGTCTCTCTCTGGTCTCTCTCTCTGGTCTCTCTCTCTGGTCTCTCTCTCTGGTCTCTCTCTCTGGTCTCTCTCTCTGGTCTCTCTCTGGTCTCTCTCTGGTCCCTCTCTCTCTGGTCTCTCTCTGGTCTCTCTCTGGTCTCTCTCTGGTCTCTCTCTCTGGTCTCTCTCTCTGGTCTCTCTCTGGTCTCTTTCTGGTCCCTCTCTCTCTGGTCTCTCTCTGGTCTCTCTCTGGTCTCTCTCTCTGGTCTCTCTCTCTGGTCTCTCTCTCTGGTCTCTCTCTCTTGGTCTCTCTCTCTGGTCTCTCTCTCTGGTCTCTCTCTCTCTGGTCTTTCTCTCTGGTCTCTCTCTGGTCTCTCTCTGGTCTCTCTCTGGTCTCTCTCTCTGGTCTCTCTCTCTGGTCTCTCTCTCTGGTCTCTCTCTGGTCTCTCTCTGGTCTCTCTCTGGTCTCTCTCTGGTCCCTCTCTCTCTGGTCTCTCTCTGGTCTCTCTCTGGTCTCTCTCTCTGGTCTCTGTCTCTGGTCTCTCTCTCTGGTCTCTCTCTCTGGTCTCTCTCTCTGGTCTCTCTCTCTGGTCTCGCTCTGGTCTCCCTCTCTGGTCTCTCTCTCTGGTCTCTCTCTGGTCTCTCTCTGGTCTCCCTCTCTGGTTTCCCTCTGGTCTCTCTCTGGTCTCTCTCTGGTCTCTCTCTAGTCTCTCTCTCTAGTCTCTCTCTCTAGTCTCTCTCTGGTCTCTCTTTCTCTGGTCTCTCTCTGATCTCTCTCTGGTCTCTCTTTCTCTGGTCTCTCTCTCTCTCTCTGTTCTCTCTCTCTTTGGTCTCTCTCTCTGGTCTCTCTCTCTCTCTGGTCTTTCTCTCTGGTCTCTCTCTGGTCTCTCTCTGGTCTCTCTCTGGTCTCTCGCTGGTCTCTCTCTGGTCTCTCTCTGGTCTCCCTCTGGTCTCTCTCTCTCTGGTCTCTCTCTGGTCTCTCTCTGGTCTCCCTCTGGTCTCTCTCTCTGGTCTCTCTCTGGTCTCTCTCTCTGGTCTTTCTCTCTGGTCTCTCTCTGGTCTCTCTCTGGTCTCTCTCTGGTCTCTATCTCTGGTCTCTCTCTCTGGTCTCTCTCTGGTCTCTCTCTCTCTGGTCTCTCTCTCTGGTCTCTCTCTGGTCTCTCTCTGGTCCCTCTCTCTCTGGTCTCTCTCTGGTCTCTCTCTGGTCTCTCTCTCTGGTCTCTCTCTCTGGTCTCTCTCTGGTCTCTTTCTGGTCCCTCTCTCTCTGGTCTCTCTCTGGTCTCTCTCTGGTCTCTCTCTGGTCTCTCTCTCTGGTCTCTCTCTCTGGTCTCTCTCTCTGGTCTCTCTCTCTGGTCTCTCTCTCTGGTCTCTCTCTCTGGTCTCTCTCTCTCTGGTCTTTCTCTCTGGTCTCTCTCTGGTCTCTCTCTGGTCTCTCTCTGGTCTCTCTCTCTGGTCTCTCTCTCTGGTCTCTCTCTCTGGTCTCTCTCTGGTCTCTCTCTGGTCTCTCTCTGGTCTCTCTCTGGTCCCTCTCTCTCTGGTCTCTCTCTGGTCTCTCTCTGGTCTCTCTCTCTGGTCTCTCTCTCTGGTCTCTCTCTGGTCTCTTTCTGGTCCCTCTCTCTCTGTCTCTCTCTGGTCTCTCTCTGGTCTCTCTCTCTGGTCTCTCTCTCTGGTCTCTCTCTCTGGTCTCTCTCTCTGGTCTCTCTCTCTGGTCTCTCTCTGGTCTCTCTCTGGTCCCTCTCTCTCTGGTCTCTCTCTGGTCTCTCTCTGGTCTCTCTCTGGTCTCTCTCTCTGGTCTCTCTCTCTGGTCTCTCTCTGGTCTCTTTCTGGTCCCTCTCTCTCTGGTCTCTCTCTGGTCTCTCTCTGGTCTCTCTCTGGTCCCTCTCTCTCTGTCTCTCTCTGGTCTCTCTCTGGTCTCTCTCTCTGGTCTCTCTCTCTGGTCTCTCTCTCTGGTCTCTCTCTCTGGTCTCTCTCTGGTCTCTCTCTGGTCCCTCTCTCTCTGGTCTCTCTCTGGTCTCTCTCTGGTCTCTCTCTGGTCTCTCTCTGGTCTCTCTCTCTGGTCTCTCTCTCTGGTCTCTCTCTCTGGTCTCTTTCTGGTCCCTCTCTCTCTGGTCTCTCTCTGGTCTCTCTCTGGTCTCTTGCTCTGGTCTCTTGCTCTGGTCTCTCGCTCTGGTCCCTCGCTCTGGTCCCTCTCTGAAGATTGACAGCGTCTCCCTCTGTTGGTAGCACAGGGAGTTGCAGGCTGAACGACATGACTAACCTTCCCATCTGGTAGAACCACGTAACTGTCAATATCAGAGATGTTGACTTTCCCAAAGTTTCCCATGAGGCCTTGCAGTTTGAGGCCTGTGAATGTGGGAGCGTTCTTCCAGAACCTGCAGCACACACATAAGGTCCACTTTAGCTCTCATACATGGTTCTGAAAATGTGAGATCTGAGGGAAAACCATTGAGCGTATTTTAGGAGTGGACTGATTGAGTATGACATCACCATAGTGGAAGCTAGCATAGCTTCAAATCGGTAGTCATTTGAACATAAGCTAGCTGACATTGTTAGCTTCACACTTTAACAGGGACAGATGTGTTGCTAGTTTCCCCATGAAGGAAGGCATCTGAAAGGTTCAAAGGTATGAATCAACATGTATAATGATGAAGATATGATCTGCATTGGTGAAACACCCCCATCCAGTGGTAGAAATGGGAAATACAGGAATGTTCTAACCCTAACTCTTGAGATGTGGTGATGTCACATGACCTCAAAGGATGGATGGGTCAAATGCAGTGGACAGCAGTGTACTGACTTGATGTGGCTGGAGCCGCAGGAGATGAGCAGTTCTGTGGTGTGAGGGGAGAAGCTCACTCGGTACACGTCCTGGGACACAGCCTTACAGCTCTGCAGGATTTCCTCCTGTCTCCAGTCCCACACGGTCAGGCTGTAGTCTGGAGAGGAGCCCACACTGGCCAGCAGCTCCCCATCTGCACTGAAGTCCAGGGAGCAGAAGGCCCACTCTGCCCCCCCTGTACACAACTCTTATGTGAGTGGTCACGACACTTACTTATCTCTGTTTATGTGAGTAGTCACAACACTTACTTATCTCTGTTTATGTGATTAGTCACAACACTTACTTATCTCTGTTTATGTGAGTAGTCACAACACTTACTTATCTCTGTTTATGTGAGTAGTCACAACACTTACTTATCTCTGTTTATGTGAGTAGTCACAACACTTACTTATCTCTGTTTATGTGAGTAGTCACAACACTCACTTATCTCTGTTTATGTGATTAGTCACAACACTTACTTATCTCTGTTTATGTGAGTAGTCACAACACTTACTTATCTCTGTTTATGTGAGTAGTCACAACACTCACTTATCTCTGTTTATGTGATTAGTCACAACACTCACTTATCTCTGTTTATGTGAGTAGTCACAACACTCACTTATCTCTGTTTATGTGATTAGTCACAACACTCACTTATCTCTGTTTATGTGAGTAGTCACGACACTCATCTCTGTTTACGTGAGTAGTCACGACACTCATCTCTGTTTACGTGAGTGGTCACGACACTCATCTCTGTTTCTCTACTCTACTCTACTCTACTCTACTCTACTCTACTCTACTCTACTCTACTCTACTCTACTCTACTCTACTCTACTCTACTCTACTCTACTCTACTCTGGCCTGCTCTACTCTATTCTACTCTACTCTACCATACTCTGCCCTATTCTACTCAACTCTACCCTACTCTGCCCTACTCTACTCTATTCTACTCTACTCTGCCCTGCTCTACTCTATTCTACTCTACTCTGCCCTACTCTGTCCTGCTCTACTCTATTCTACTCTACTCTGTCCTGCTCTACTCTTTTCTACTCTACTCTGCCCTAGTCTACTCTACTCTGCCCTACTCTACTCTACACTACCCTACTCCACTCTACACTACCCTACTCTGTCCTATTCTACTCTACTCTACCCTACTCTACTTTACTCCCGGATCTGTGTAACCAGACAGTGATTGGCAGTGAGTGAGTACATATATTTCCCACTGACCTCTCAGGATGCGATACGGCCGTAAAGAAGGGTATTCATAGATAATGATGCTAGGACGACTTCCCTTCTCTCCCACAGCAAAGTACTGCTTCTTTGGATGAGTCTGGAACAAGTTAAACAAATGTTTGCAATGTGAACCCTGTAGTACTCTGGCCTCCTGCTGGGACTCTGAGGAGCACAGGGACTGGACTCCTGCTGGGAATCTGAGGAGCACAGGGACTGGCCTCCTGCTGGGACTCTGAGGAGCACAGGGACTGGACTCCTGCTGGGACTCTGAGGAACACAGGGACTGGCCTCCTGCTGGGACTCTGAGGAGCACAGGGACTGGACTCCTGCTGGGAATCTGAGGAGCACAGGGACTGGCCTCCTGCTGGGAATCTGAGGAGCACAGGGACTGGCCTCCTGCTGGGAATCTGAGGAGCACAGGGACTGGCCTCCTGCTGGGAATCTGAGGAGCACAGGGACTGGCCTCCTGCTGGGAATCTGAGGAGCACAGGGACTGGCCTCCTGCTGGGAATCTGAGGAGCACAGGGACTGGCCTCCTGCTGAGACTCTGAGGGGCACAGGGCCTAGACTCCTGCTGGGACTCTGAGGAGCACAGGGACTGGCCTCCTGCTGGGAATCTGAGGAGCACAGGGACTGGCCTCCTGCTGGGACTCTGAGGAGCACAGGGACTGGCCTCCTGCTGGGAATCTGAGGAGCACAGGGACTGGCCTCCTGCTGGGGATCTGAGGAGCACAGGGACTGGCCTCCTGCTGGGAATCTGAGGAGCACAGGGACTGGCCTCCTGCTGGGAATCTGAGGAGCACAGGGACTGGCCTCCTGCTGGGAATCTGAGGAGCACAGGGACTGGCCTCCTGCTGAGACTCTGAGGGGCACAGGGCCTAGACTCCTGCTGGGACTCTGAGGAGCACAGGGACTGGCCTCCTGCTGGGAATCTGAGGAGCACAGGGACTGGCCTCCTGCTGGGACTCTGAGGAGCACAGGGACTGGCCTCCTGCTGGGACTCTGAGGAGCACAGGGACTGGACTCCTGCTGGGACTCTGAGGAGCACAGGGACTCTGAGGAGCACAGGGACTGGCCTCCTGCTGGGAATCTGAGGAGCACAGGGACTGGCCTCCTGCTGGGACTCTGAGGGGCACAGGGACTGGCCTCCTGCTGGGACTCTGAGGGGCACAGAGACTGGCCTCCTGCTGGGAATCTGAGGAGCACAGGGACTGGCCTCCTGCTGGGACTCTGAGGGGCACAGGGACTGGCCTCCTGCTGGGACTCTGAGGGGCACAGAGACTGGCCTCCTGCTGGGAATCTGAGGAGCACAGGGACTGGCCTCCTGCTGGGACTCTGAGGAGCACAGGGACTGGACTCCTGCTGGGACTCTGAGGAGCACAGGGACTGGACTCCTGCTGGGACTCTGAGGAGCACAGGGACTGCCCTCCTGCTGGGACTCTGAGGAGCACAGGGACTGGACTCCTGCTGGGACTCTGAGGAGCACAGGGACTGGCCTCCTGCTGGGACTCTGAGGAGCACAGGGACTGGACTCCTGCTGGGACTCTGAGGAGCACAGGGACTGGACTCCTGCTGGGACTCTGAGGAGCACAGGGACTGGACTCCTGCTGGGACTCTGAGGAGCACAGGGACTGGACTCCTGCTGGGACTCTGAGGAGCACAGGGACTGCCCTCCTGCTGGGACTCTGAGGAGCACAGGGACTGGACTCCTGCTGGGACTCTGAGGAGCACAGGGACTGGCCTCCTGCTGGGACTCTGAGGGGCACAGGGACTGGCCTCCTGCTGGGACTCTGAGGAGCACAGGGACTGGACTCCTGCTGGGACTCTGAGGAGCACAGGGACTGCCCTCCTGCTGGGACTCTGAGGGGCACAGGGACTGGCCTCCTGCTGGGACTCTGAGGAGCACAGGGACTGGACTCCTGCTGGGACTCTGAGGAGATCAGGGACTGGCCTCCTGCTGGGACTCTGAGGAGATCAGGGACTGGCCTCCTGCTGGGACTCTGAGGAGCACAGGGACTGGACTCCTGCTGGGACTCTGAGGAGCACAGGGACTGGACTCCTGCTGGGACTCTGAGGGGCACAGGGACTGGACTCCTGCTGGGACTCTGAGGAGATCAGGGACTGGCCTCCTGCTGGGACTCTGAGGGGCACAGGGACTGCCCTCCTGCTGGGACTCTGAGGAGATCAGGGACTGCCCTCCTGCTGGGACTCTGAGGGGCACAGGGACTGGCCTCCTGCTGGGACTCTGAGGAGCACAGGGACTGGACTCCTGCTGGGACTCTGAGGAGCACAGGGACTGGACTCCTGCTGGGACTCTGAGGAGCACAGGGACTGGACTCCTGCTGGGACTCTGAGGAGCACAGGGACTGGACTCCTGCTGGGACTCTGAGGAGCACAGGGACTGGACTCCTGCTGGGACTCTGAGGAGCACAGGGACTGGCCTCCTGCTGGGACTCTGAGGAGCACAGGGACTGGACTCCTGCTGGGACTCTGAGGAGCACAGGGACTGGACTCCTGCTGGGACTCTGAGGAGCACAGGGACTGGACTCCTGCTGGGACTCTGAGGAGATCAGGGACTGGCCTCCTGCTGGGACTCTGAGGAGATCAGGGACTGGCCTCCTGCTGGGACTCTGAGGAGCACAGGGACTGGACTCCTGCTGGGACTCTGAGGGGCACAGGGACTGCCCTCCTGCTGGGACTCTGAGGGGCACAGGGACTGGCCTCCTGCTGGGACTCTGAGGAGCACAGGGACTGGCCTCCTGCTGGGACTCTGAGGAGCACAGGGACTGGACTCCTGCTGGGACTCTGAGGAGCACAGGGACTGGCCTCCTGCTGGGACTCTGAGGAGATCAGGGACTGGCCTCCTGCTGGGACTCTGAGGAGCACAGGGACTGGACTCCTGCTGGGACTCTGAGGGGCACAGGGACTGCCCTCCTGCTGGGACTCTGAGGGGCACAGGGACTGGCCTCCTGCTGGGACTCTGAGGAGCACAGGGACTGGACTCCTGCTGGGACTCTGAGGAGCACAGGGACTGGCCTCCTGCTGGGACTCTGAGGAGCACAGGGACTGGACTCCTGCTGGGACTCTGAGGAGCACAGGGACTGGCCTCCTGCTGGGACTCTGAGTTCAGAAGTCAGTCTGGTGCATGTATCTTACCGCAGTGGCTCCGATGCCTTCCCCGCTGCAGGAGCGCAGGTACCTCTGCTCCTTAGAGCTCAGGTCCTGTAGAACCAGGAAGTTCCCGGCCACATAGAGCAGGGTCTGCTCGTCCAGCAGCTGCAGATTGGATCTCCGCAGACAGTCGTAGCCGAACGAGTGACTGAAAGCATCAAGGACTCCACACTGGAGACTTTGGCTATAGACACTGTGGCTACAGACACTGTGGCTACAGACACTGTGGCTACAGACACTGTGGCTACAGACACTGTGGCTACAGACATTGTGGCTACAGACACTGTGGCTACAGACACTGTGGCTACAGACATTGTGGCTACAGACACTGTGGCTACAGAGATTTTGGCTACAGACATTGTGGCTACAGAGATTTTGGCTACAGACATTGTGGCTACAGACACTGTGGCTACAGAGACTTTGGCTACAGACACTGTGGCTACAGACACTGTGGCTACAGACACTGTGGCTACAGACACTGTGGCTACAGACATTGTGGCTACAGACACTGTGGCTACAGACACTGTGGCTACAGACATTGTGGCTACAGACACTGTGGCTACAGAGATTTTGGCTACAGACATTGTGGCTACAGACACTGTGGCTACAGAGACTTTGGCTACAGACACTGTGGCTACAGACACTGTGGCTACAGACACTGTGGCTACAGACACTGTGGCTACAGACATTGTGGCTACAGACACTGTGGCTACAGACACTGTGGCTACAGACACTGTGGCTACAGACATTGTGGCTACAGACACTGTGGCTACAGAGACTTTGGCTACAGACATTGTGGCTACAGACACTGTGGCTACAGAGACTTTGGCTACAGACGTTGTGGCTACAGATGCTGTGGCTACAGAGACTTTGGCTACAGATGCTGTGGCTACAGACACTGTGGCTACAGACACTGTGGCTACAGACACTGTGGCTACAGACACTGTGGCTACAGACACTGTGGCTACAGACACTGTGGCTACAGAGACTTTGGCTACAGACATTGTGGCTACAGACACTGTGGCTACAGACACTGTGGCTACAGACACTGTGGCTACAGAGACTTTGGCTACAGACACTGTGGCTACAGACACTGTGGCTACAGAGACTTTGGCTACAGATGCTGTGGCTACAGACACTGTGGCTACAGAGACTTTGGCTACAGACATTGTGGCTACAGACACTGTGGCTACAGAGACTTTGGCTACAGATGCTGTGGCTACAGACACTGTGGCTACAGACACTGTGGCTACAGACACTGTGGCTACAGAGACTTTGGCTACAGACACTGTGGCTACAGACACTGTGGCTACAGACACTGTGGCTACAGAGACTGTGGCTACAGACACTGTGGCTACAGACACTGTGGCTACAGACACTGTGGCTACAGACACTGTGGCTACAGACACTGTGGCTACAGACACTGTGGCTACAGACACTGTGGCTACAGAGACTTTGGCTACAGACACTGTGGCTACAGACACTGTGGCTACAGATGCTGTGGCTACAGATGCTGTGGCTACAGACACTGTGGCTACAGACACTGTGGCTACAGACACTGTGGCTACAGACACTGTGGCTACAGACACTGTGGCTACAGACACTGTGGCTACAGACACTGTGGCTACAGAGACTTTGGCTACAGACATTGTGGCTACAGACACTGTGGCTACAGAGACTTTGGCTACAGACACTGTGGCTACAGACACTGTGGCTACAGAGACTTTGGCTACAGATGCTGTGGCTACAGACACTGTGGCTACAGACATTGTGGCTACAGACACTGTGGCTACAGAGACTTTGGCTACAGATGCTGTGGCTACAGACACTGTGGCTACAGACACTGTGGCTACAGAGACTTTGGCTACAGATGCTGTGGCTACAGACACTGTGGCTACAGAGACTTTGGCTACAGATGCTGTGGCTATAGACACTGTGGCTACAGACACTGTGGCTACAGACACTGTGGCTACAGACATTGTGGCTACAGACACTGTGGCTACAGAGACTTTGGCTACAGACACTGTGGCTACAGACATTGTGGCTACAGACACTGTGGCTACAGACACTGTGGCTACAGACATTGTGGCTACAGACACTGTGGCTACAGACATTGTGGCTACAGACACTGTGGCTACAGAGATTTTGGCTACAGACATTGTGGCTACAGACACTGTGGCTACAGACACTGTGGCTACAGACACTGTGGCTACAGACACTGTGGCTACAGACATTGTGGCTACAGACACTGTGGCTACAGACACTGTGGCTACAGACACTGTGGCTACAGAGACTTTGGCTACAGATGCTGTGGCTACAGACACTGTGGCTACAGACACTGTGGCTACAGACACTGTGGCTACAGACACTGTGGCTACAGACACTGTGGCTACAGACACTGTGGCTACAGACACTGTGGCTACAGACACTGTGGCTACAGACACTGTGGCTACAGAGACTTTGGCTACAGACATTGTGGCTACAGACACTGTGGCTACAGAGACTTTGGCTACAGACACTGTGGCTACAGACACTGTGGCTACAGAGACTTTGGCTACAGATGCTGTGGCTACAGACACTGTGGCTACAGAGACTTTGGCTACAGACATTGTGGCTACAGACACTGTGGCTACAGAGACTTTGGCTACAGATGCTGTGGCTACAGACACTGTGGCTACAGAGACTTTGGCTACAGACATTGTGGCTACAGACACTGTGGCTACAGACATTGTGGCTACAGACACTGTGGCTACAGACATTGTGGCTACAGACACTGTGGCTACAGAGACTTTGGCTACAGACACTGTGGCTACAGACACTGTGGCTACAGACACTGTGGCTACAGAGACTTTGGCTACAGACACTGTGGCTACAGAGACTTTGGCTACAGACATTGTGGCTACAGACACTGTGGCTACAGACACTGTGGCTACAGACACTGTGGCTACAGACACTGTGGCTACAGAGACTTTGGCTACAGATGCTGTGGCTACAGACACTGTGGCTACAGACACTGTGGCTACAGACACTGTGGCTACAGACACTGTGGCTACAGACACTGTGGCTACAGACACTGTGGCTACAGAGACTTTGGCTACAGACATTGTGGCTACAGACACTGTGGCTACAGAGACTTTGGCTACAGATGCTGTGGCTACAGACACTGTGGCTACAGACACTGTGGCTACAGACACTGTGGCTACAGACACTGTGGCTACAGACACTGTGGCTACAGACACTGTGGCTACAGAGACTTTGGCTACAGATGCTGTGGCTACAGACACTGTGGCTACAGAGACTTTGGCTACAGACATTGTGGCTACAGACACTGTGGCTACAGAGACTTTGGCTACAGATGCTGTGGCTACAGACACTGTGGCTACAGACACTGTGGCTACAGACACTGTGGCTACAGAGACTTTGGCTACAGACACTGTGGCTACAGACACTGTGGCTACAGACACTGTGGCTACAGACACTGTGGCTACAGACACTGTGGCTACAGACACTGTGGCTACAGAGACTTTGGCTACAGACATTGTGGCTACAGACACTGTGGCTACAGAGACTTTGGCTACAGACACTGTGGCTACAGACACTGTGGCTACAGAGACTTTGGCTACAGATGCTGTGGCTACAGACACTGTGGCTACAGAGACTTTGGCTACAGACATTGTGGCTACAGACACTGTGGCTACAGAGACTTTGGCTACAGATGCTGTGGCTACAGACACTGTGGCTACAGACACTGTGGCTACAGACACTGTGGCTACAGAGACTTTGGCTACAGATGCTGTGGCTACAGACACTGTGGCTACAGAGACTTTGGCTACAGACATTGTGGCTACAGACACTGTGGCTACAGAGACTTTGGCTACAGATGCTGTGGCTACAGACACTGTGGCTACAGACACTGTGGCTACAGACACTGTGGCTACAGAGACTTTGGCTACAGATGCTGTGGCTACAGACACTGTGGCTACAGAGACTTTGGCTACAGATGCTGTGGCTACAGACACTGTGGCTACAGACACTGTGGCTACAGACACTGTGGCTACAGACACTGTGGCTACAGACACTGTGGCTACAGAGACTTTGGCTACAGACATTGTGGCTACAGACACTGTGGCTACAGAGACTTTGGCTACAGATGCTGTGGCTACAGACACTGTGGCTACAGACACTGTGGCTACAGACACTGTGGCTACAGAGACTTTGGCTACAGATATTGTGGCTACAGACACTGTGGCTACAGACATTGTGGCTACAGATGCTGCGGCTACAGATGCTGCGGCTACAGACACTGTGGCTACAGAGACTTTGGCTACAGACATTGTGGCTACAGACACTGTGGCTACAGACACTGTGGCTACAGACACTGTGGCTACAGACATTGTGGCTACAGATGCTGTGGCTACAGATGCTGTGGCTACAGATGCTGTGGCTACAGGGTAATAATAATAATGCATCAGTTTTATACAGCACTTTTCTGGACTCTCAAAGACGCTTCACTTGTGATTATTCTCTCTCTCCAAACACGGTGGTGATGAACTACTACTGTAGCCACAGCTGCCCTGGGGCACACTGACAGAAGTGAGGCCCATAACTGAACCTTTGGACTAACACCTCTGGATTATTGAACTGGAGCCTATCCTCCAGCGGCCGACTCTGGACTCTGCTGATCTCAACACCACTTATCCTCTAACTTGTTACATTCTAAAAACAAAGCAGTGGCGACATTATATCACTAACATAATGATATTGTTAACATAACTATAATATAATACTAACATACAGTACAGACCAAAAGTTTGGACACACCTTCTCATTCAAAGAGTTTTTTATTTTCATGATTATTAAAATGGTAGATTGACACTGAGGGCATCAAACCTATGATGAACTCATGTGAATGATGTTTGTAGTAAAAAGTATGAACCAAGTGTAAATATGTGTTTTATTCTGGTTCTTCAAAGTAGAACCTTTTGCTCTGATCCTGCTTCACTCTTGGCATTCTCTGGATGAGCTATATCTGTAACATTAGCTCTGTACTGTATATCTGTAACTTTAGCTCTGTACTGTATATCTGTAACATTAGCTCTGTACTGTATATCTGTAACATTAGCTCTGTACTGTATATCTGTAACATTAGCTGTACTGTATATCTGTAACATTAGCTCTGTACTGTATATCTGTAACATTAGCTCTGTACTGTATATCTGTAACATTAGCTCTGTACTGTATATCTGTAACATTAGCTCTGTACTGTATATCTGTAACATTAGCTCTGTACTGTATATCTGTAACATTAGCTCTGTACTGTATATCTGTAACATTAGCTCTGTACTGTATATCTGTAACATTAGCTCTGTACTGTATATCTGTAACATTAGCTCTGTACTGTATATCTGTAACATTAGCTCTGTACTGTATATCTGTAACATTAGCTGTACTGTATATCTGTAACATTAGCTCTGTACTGTATATCTGTAACATTAGCTCTGTACTGTATATCTGTAACATTAGCTCTGTACTGTATATCTGTAACATTAGTCTGTACTGTATATCTGTAACATTAGCTCTGTACTGTATATCTGTAACATTAGCTCTGTACTGTATATCTGTAACATTAGCTCTGTACTGTATATCTGTAACATTAGCTCTGTACTGTATATCTGTAACATTAGCTACTGTACTGTATATCTGTAACATTAGCTCTGTACTGTATATCTGTAACATTAGCTCTGTACTGTATATCTGTAACATTAGCTCTGTACTGTATATCTGTAACATTAGCTCTGTACTGTATATCTGTAACATTAGCTCTGTACTGTATATCTGTAACATTAGCTCTGTACTGTATATCTGTAACATTAGCTCTGTACTGTATATCTGTAACATTAGCTCTGTACTGTATATCTGTAACATTAGCTCTGTACTGTATATCTGTAACATTAGCTCTGTACTGTATATCTGTAACATTAGCTCTGTACTGTATATCTGTAACATTAGCTCTGTACTGTATATCTGTAACATTAGCTCTGTACTGTATATCTGTAACATTAGCTCTGTACTGTATATCTGTAACATTAGCTCTGTACTGTATATCTGTAACATTAGCTCTGTACTGTATATCTGTAACATTAGCTCTGTACTGTATATCTGTAACATTAGCTCTGTACTGTATATCTGTAACATTAGCTCTGTACTGTATATCTGTAACATTAGCTCTGTACTGTATATCTGTAACATTAGCTCTGTACTGTATATCTGTAACATTAGCTCTGTACTGTATATCTGTAACATTAGCTCTGTACTGTATATCTGTAACATTAGCTCTGTACTGTATATCTGTAACATTAGCTCTGTACTGTATATCTGTAACATTAGCTCTGTACTGTATATCTGTAACATTAGCTCTGTACTGTATATCTGTAACATTAGCTCTGTACTGTATATCTGTAACATTAGCTCTGTACTGTATATCTGTAACATTAGCTCTTCTGTACTATGTACTGTATATCTGTAACATTAGCTCTGTACTGTATATCTGTAACATTAGCTCTGTACTGTATATCTGTAACATTAGCTCTGTACTGTATATCTGTAACATTAGCTCTGTACTGTATATCTGTAACATTAGCTCTGTACTGTATATCTGTAACATTAGCTCTGTACTGTATATCTGTAACATTAGCTCTGTACTGTATATCTGTAACATTAGCTCTGTACTGTATATCTGTAACATTAGCTCTGTACTGTATATCTGTAACATTAGCTCTGTACTGTATATCTGTAACATTAGCTCTGTACTGTATATCTGTAACATTAGCTCTGTACTGTATATCTGTAACATTAGCTCTGTACTGTATATCTGTAACATTAGCTCTGTACTGTATATCTGTAACATTAGCTCTGTACTGTATATCTGTAACATTAGCTCTGTACTGTATATCTGTAACATTAGCTCTGTACTGTATATCTGTAACATTAGCTCTGTACTGTATATCTGTAACATTAGCTCTGTACTGTATATCTGTAACATTAGCTCTGTACTGTATATCTGTAACATTAGCTCTGTACTGTATATCTGTAACATTAGCTCTGTACTGTATATCTGTAACATTAGCTCTGTACTGTATATCTGTAACATTAGCTCTGTACTGTATATCTGTAACATTAGCTCTGTACTGTATATCTGTAACATTAGCTCTGTACTGTATATCTGTAACATTAGCTCTGTACTGTATATCTGTAACATTAGCTCTGTACTGTATATCTGTAACATTAGCTCTGTACTGTATATCTGTAACATTAGCTCTGTACTGTATATCTGTAACATTAGCTCTGTACTGTATATCTGTAACATTAGCTCTGTACTGTATATCTGTAACATTAGCTCTGTACTGTATATCTGTAACATTAGCTCTGTACTGTATATCTGTAACATTAGCTCTGTACTGTATATCTGTAAATTAGCGTACTTCTGTACTGTATATCTGTAACATTAGCTCTGTACTGTATATCTGTAACATTAGCTCTGTACTGTATATCTGTAACATTAGCTCTGTACTGTATATCTGTAACATTAGCTCTGTACTGTATATCTGTAACATTAGCTCTGTACTGTATATCTGTAACATTAGCTCTGTACTGTATATCTGTAACATTAGCTCTGTACTGTATATCTGTAACATTAGCTCTGTACTGTATATCTGTAACATTAGCTCTGTACTGTATATCTGTAACATTAGCTCTGTACTGTATATCTGTAACATTAGCTCTGTACTGTATATCTGTAACATTAGCTCTGTACTGTATATCTGTAACATTAGCTCTGTACTGTATATCTGTAACATTAGCTCTGTACTGTATATCTGTAACATTAGCTCTGTACTGTATATCTGTAACATTAGCTCTGTACTGTATATCTGTAACATTAGCTCTGTACTGTATATCTGTAAATTAGCTCTGTACTGTATATCTGTAACATTAGCTCTGTACTGTATATCTGTAACATTAGCTCTGTACTGTATATCTGTAACATTAGCTCTGTACTGTATATCTGTAACATTAGCTCTGTACTGTATATCTGTAACATTAGCTCTGTACTGTATATCTGTAACATTAGCTCTGTACTGTATATCTGTAACATTAGCTCTGTACTGTATATCTGTAACATTAGCTCTGTACTGTATATCTGTAACATTAGCTCTGTACTGTATATCTGTAACATTAGCTCTGTACTGTATATCTGTAACATTAGCTCTGTACTGTATATCTGTAACATTAGCTCTGTACTGTATATCTGTAACATTAGCTCTGTACTGTATATCTGTAACATTAGCTCTGTACTGTATATCTGTAACATTAGCTCTGTACTGTATATCTGTAACATTAGCTCTGTACTGTATATCTGTAACATTAGCTCTGTACTGTATATCTGTAACATTAGCTCTGTACTGTATATCTGTAACATTAGCTCTGTACTGTATATCTGTAACATTAGCTCTGTACTGTATATCTGTAACATTAGCTCTGTACTGTATATCTGTAACATTAGCTCTGTACTGTATATCTGTAACATTAGCTCTGTACTGTATATCTGTAACATTAGCTCTGTACTGTATATCTGTAACATTAGCTCTGTACTGTATATCTGTAACATTAGCTCTGTACTGTATATCTGTAACATTAGCTGTACTGTATATCTGTAACATTAGCTCTGTACTGTATATCTGTAACATTAGCTCTGTACTGTATATCTGTAACATTAGCGTCTGTACTGTATATCTGTAACATTAGCTCTGTACTGTATATCTGTAACATTAGCTCTGTACTGTACTTAACATCTGTAACATTCTGTACATTCTGTACTGTATATCTGTAACATTAGCTCTGTACTGTATATCTGTAACATTAGCTCTGTACTGTATATCTGTAACATTAGCTCTGTACTGTATATCTGTAACATTAGCTCTGTACTGTATATCTGTAACATTAGCTCTGTACTGTATATCTGTAACATTAGCTCTGTACTGTATATCTGTAACATTAGCTCTGTACTGTATATCTGTAACATTAGTGCTCTGTACGTGTATATCTGTAACATTAGCATTCTGTACTGTATATCTGTAACATTAGCTCTGTACTGTATATCTGTAACATTAGCTCTGTACTGTATATCTGTAACATTAGCTCTGTACTGTATATCTGTAACATTAGCTCTGTACTGTATATCTGTAACATTAGCTCTGTACTGTATATCTGTAACATTAGCTCGTACTGTATATCTGTAACATTAGCTCTGTACTGTATATCTGTAACATTAGCTCTGTACTGTATATCTGTAACATTAGCTCTGTACTGTATATCTGTAACATTAGCTCTGTACTGTATATCTGTAACTGCTCTGTACTGTATATCTGTAACATTAGCTCTGTACTGTATATCTGTAA